GGGCATGGCAGCTACTAAATAAAGACAGACTCTAAAACTGTTATGTGCTCTGCAGGTATCCATCTTTATTCGAGTATCTCACTTGCAGTTCAAAGAACTTGTAGCCAATCTGTTTAAATATCAATTAAGAAAAATGTCAAACACAACAATCTCTAATCAAGGATTCAAGGAGTGTAATGCAGGATAACAAAAATTTTGGTTTGATGTAGAAAAATACTGTATTAACCATGAATGGAGCTGGGATGGTCCCACATAAGTTTCCATTGTGCTGATTGAGATGGTAAATGTCACATAGGCATAATACTCAGGTATATGAATAGAATATATATATTGTTCCACAGGGAAAGAACTCTGCTTAATTTTATTTTTTTTTCCTGTAAATTACTGTAGCAGTCCAAAGGTTTTACACCCTCAAAAGGTACTCTAGGTAGAAAATGCTATATAAACCTAATGTTAATGCAGTAGGAAGACTTGTCAATTAAGCAGTCAAAAACTCTCTAAGGTCCTAACTGAATAGTGTTGCGTGTCATTTAGTGGTATATGCCACCAGAAAGAATACTTAGGTGGCTGGCAAATTGTACCAAGTACATGTGGAATCTCATCTTTCTGTTTTTGTGTTCTTTTTTGTATTTTTAAGTATTTTTCATTTCCCTGTACTTCAGGGATAACTTTTCATTGACAAAGTTACACATACACTGAAGCAGTAATACCTACCTTGAACTGGAGGCATCTTGAGAGAATGAATCAAGGGGGTGGATTCTTTTATCTCTTATCAGTTTGATTGGCATATCGATGTTCAGCCTTTACAAATGTTCTGACTCTTTGGACTTGGGGTTTAACTAAGAAGGGAAATGTACAGGAAGGAGAACAGAGACAGGAAACTGAGGAAGGGAAGGTGAATTGAAGAAAAAATATAAGGAAGGGAGTCTCCAGAGACCATATTTCTTATCAGTAAATGAGGAACGTGATTGTTATTCACCAAAAATGTAAAATATAATCATTCAGCTACTGCATAAAGCTTGGATTTTCACCATCTATTGCCTTGTTTCATTTAACAATATGTGAGCTGGGTCAGCTGAATTCGGGTGACGACATTGGGTGCTTGATTGCTGTCTAGCCCCTGGAGTCTTTAAATGTGACTCTTTAATTTTCCCTTTGTATGATAAACAATTTTTGAAGATCATTAACTAAAACTTGCAAAATAACAAGTACTGATCACGCTTCTGTTTTCTACAGCTGATAAATTCAGAAGTTCATGTACTCCATTGCCTCCTTGTGTGTCTGAAAGCTTGTCTGTTTTTTCCCCAAGCAGTGAGGGTGACTCTTACAAAGCCATCCTTACTCTGTGCGATTTGGAAATTTGATTGGTTCTTGCTACGATCAGTGTAATAGTAAGAAGGATATTCAAACACAGGACAAAATATAGATCTGCAGTAGGTATCTCTGTGCTTTCTCTAAAATTAGGAGATGACTGTGGTCAGAGAAAAAAAATATTAAACAAATAGAAAGTAAAAAAAGTCCGCTTCTACAGCCAGTGATAAATGGGACGATGTATCATCTGCCTTCCAAATACATCCTAAATGATTTTAGGCAAGATAATTCTAAATGTGAAGCTGTTCACACTTAAAAAACATATGTGCTGTTTTGACCAGCTGAACATACCTCTCTATAGTCTGGCTTGTGTTCCACTTTCTCTGCCTTTTTTTCAGACAAGTACTTTAGCAAGATGTAAAACACAATGAACTTTGTGCTCAGCCATCACAGAATAAAAGGAAACAAATCAAACTGCTGCAGAGTACTTGATGTTTTCTGGAAATTGTATGAAATGGCTTCCAGAAAAACACCCACACAATAACACAAATTGCATCCAAATCATCTCCTTTAAGTTGGCATGGCATTTTCATTTTATTGCTGTTTTAATACTGGAAAACAGGGGTTTGGGACATTTTTGAAGGAAGTTGTAAAATTAAATTTATTTTTTTCCTTTGTGGATGCACTAATGGGAAAAACATTGGAGGGGCAGTACCCATAGTGGAAAGGCTCCTGAGGGATTTACACTTAAAAACCCTCATGTTAAACAACCTTTTGTACCTGTTCTTTTTCCTTTCTCAACTGAGAAACATCAGGCGGCTTTTTCTGATTTTACCCTATTTGCAGCTTGCTCACCCTTGACCTTGGCTCTCAGAGTAGTCCTAATGGCTATCAAATTTTACAGTTTTCTTGGACACAAGCATCTTGAAAACATCATGACAACTTGAAAGCCATAAAAACTGCACTGTGTGTTCCTCTGATTCATTAGATCATAACATTTTCAAGGTCACAGCATCAAAAGAATGAAGATGTTAGCATTTATGATTCAAAAAATGAAGTATCTCAGGAAGAACCAGATGTAACAAACGATAGGTTTTAATTTGTTTTCTCATATAGAAAAAGTGAATTATGAAGCTTTTCATGCGAAGGGATTTTCAGAAATGGACTTCACCCTGAGATGAAGGTCAACGTTTCATCTGGAGTAGAAAGTAATTGAATGAATGTTGATATGTCAATGTTTTCTTCATAAAATTTGCACTTGGAGTAGATGCTGAATTCTGCTATCACAAAACTTGCAGAGAGAAGCAGTATTTTGGCAGGTCAGGTTGAATGACATCGATAACATTTTCCCAGCTGATTTTTCATACATCTAGCTGAGTCAGCTCTTGGAAATTTTAAGAGCAGAGCTGAGCAGACTTCAAATAATTTTGAACATGTGGAAATGTGCTGATGCTAAACTCCTCTTGAGAATCTAATCATTTTAATATTCTCGCTCAGGTTGAATGCTTTCCAGAGAGCTAAGCTTTTGGCAAATTTGGCCTGCACTTAACCAAAACAATCTTTAACCTGTGCATGAGCTTTTTTTTTGGCCTTTAGATCTGGAACTGGTTCCCTTCTTAAGGAAATTGCTACTTCGTATGAGAACTACAAATGCCTTAGGTTCAGATTATCCAGTGTGCGTGTGTAACTGCTGAAATTATATTAAATGTACAATCTGCCAAAGAAACAGAGTATATATAAATATTCCTACATTGCTTTTATTTATTTTAATGTCTTTTACAGTCCCCAAATCAAATTATTAAAAAGAATAAGATGCTGAACTGATTATGATCCGGGATTTGAACTTGTTTGTATTGCCAGTGTGCGTGCTACTTCATTTTGGCTGGTTTCCTTAAAAGTAAACTAACAGTATTAATGCTACACTGCTGCTTGTTCTGAATTGGAAACAAGAACAAGAAATTTAAGTGCTGATCACATCCTGCACATGTCTTTACTGTGAGTCTCAGGAAACATGTCTTCCTGGCTCCATGAAACCAATGGCCAAAATGCCTCTTGACTTTTGTAGGATTGGGATTTCACCTCAGGGAATTTCACATTTGGATATTATAAGGTCACTTATTTCCCAAGCATCTGAGATCAAGGTTGCATAAAACTATGCAGTGATAAAGAAAAACTCTGTATGTACTGTAGCTCTGTTCTTAATTGTGTAGGATTTGGAACCTTGGGTGGGGCTGTTCTCCTGTGTTTTTCCTGTGGAAATGAGGATGGTGCATTAGTCCTGGGAGGAAGAATGACTAAAACTCAGTGAAGAATCAGTAACATTTTTTGAAAGCTTTTAAGAGAGAAACCATAAAAGTGCAAAATATTTCCACGTGGAAATATGTGTTCCAGCATTTTGCAGTGTCCTTTGCTGTGTACCAGTTCTGGATAAGCAGGAAACATGCTGCAATTTTCAGAAGACAACTGATAATAGAGAATTCTGCAAGTGGTGTGCTTTGTCCTCTGTAAAGGGCTAGCAACAACCTCTCATAAATATTGGGTTGGCCAAAAAGTAATTGCATTTTATTTTTTTTAATAGATGGACATACATGTCTTGAAATGTAACTAATTTCATTTTAAACCACAAATTCATTATGTAACTTGACAGCTGACATTTCAAGTGTGATCTAGAAAAAGAAAGTGCACAATTTCATTAACAATTATTTATTTGGCGTCGATTTCAAGATGGAAAATCAAAAGGAACGTTTTCATCATATTTTGCTGCATTACTTCAGAAAAGGAAAAAAATGCTGTGCAATCTCATAAAAAGTTATGTAATGTGTATGGTGAAGACACCTGAAAACTATGGCAGTGTCAGAATTGCTTTGCTAAATTTTGGCCCAGAGAGTTTGATGTTAAAGCAACATCACGCTCAGGAAAGCCAATTGAAGTTGATAATGACAAAATAAAGGCATTGATCTAATCCAGTTGGCATTTAATGACATGAGAGATTGCTGATAATCTTAACATATCGAAATCAAGCATTGAAAGCCATTTAAAACAGCTTGGATGCATTAGGAAGCTCAATATTTGGGTACCACATGAGCTCAAAGAAATTCATCTCACTAAGCGTGTTGACATCTGCGATTCCCTCTTGAAATGAGAAGAAAACAATCCATTTTTGAAGCCTATGATAACAGGTGCTGACAAATGGATTGTCTGCAACAACTACAAACAAAAAAAGATCATGGAGCAGGCGTGATGAACCAGCTGAAAGCACTTCAGAAGCAGATATTCACCAGAAGTTGATGCTGTCAGTCGTGGCATTTCAAAGGTATTTTGTATTTTGCATTGCTTCCAAGGAACCAAACCATTAATTTGGACATGTATTGTCATCAACTGGTTAAATTAAATGACGCCGTTGAATTGGTGAATCGCAAAGGTGGTGTGTTTCACTATGATAATGCTAGACTACATACAAGTTTGGTCACTTGTCCAAAATTGTGGCAGCTTGGATGGGATGTGTTACCATATCCACCATATTTGCCAGACCCGACGCCATCAGACTGCCATTTGTTTTGTTCTTTACAAACCGTCTTATATAGTAAAACCTTCAGTGTTGATGAGGATATGAAATCATTCTTGCAACTGTTCTTTGCTGAAAAAGAAAAGAACTTTTTTCAGCTTGGAATTATGAAGTTGCCGGAAAGATGGCAAAAGGTAGTTGAACAAAATGGACAATATATATTTTTAATACTGGTTTTGTTTCCCATAAAAAATTCGCCTTTCATTTATCCAGAAAAAAAAATAATTACTTTTTGGCTAACCCAATAGATAAAGATGAACACCAAAATATTTTTATTTTCGGATACTGAATAAATATGTGGATTTATCTATCAAGATACAGTTACAAAGACTTTAATATTTCTTTTTCTTGCCATTTTATGGATCCAGCTCCTTTAGGAAATATTCCACATCTGCATAATATATGTGTGTGCTAAGTTTTGTTTGTGGCTCTCTAAATTAGAAGAAATTGATGTGGGCAGGCAGCTTCCTTTGGCTATTTTATTTTTTAAATGTCCTAGAACATAAATTATTCCTTTCAAAGTCAATTGAAACTTGTGTTTACTAAATTAACTCCAGATCTTTCCCTTATATTAGTAGTCAAGAAATACTTTAAAATGAACACAGCTTTTACCCCATTCTGCTCCTATTTTGAACATCATCTGTTGCATTGTGAGTGTTTGGATCTGTGGCCTTGACAGATGCCAAGATAAAGGTTGTGCCAGTGCACACTTTCCCATTTTCTGTAAAGATCTATGGAACTCAACACTAAAAGCTGAATTTGGCTCATTGACTTTCCGGCCCCAGCCCATTCTTCCCTTTGCAATTGTTAATAGCCATAAGGCTTCTGTGGCAGTTTAGCTGTGACACTGATCCAAAATGCATCAACTCCATGTAGATGTTTGCTTTGATTTCAGTAGCTTTGCCCATAATGATCTGTAGCTGTGCTGACAAATTTTGTTATATGTGTTGTAATGGTTTTTGGACATTCAGGAGCTTAATGAATGGCAACTGGTATAATGAAGAGTGGCAATGGGTTTTGCTGGAGGTAGATTTTGTACTTTTCTGGCATGAAGTCTATGCCACCTTCTAGAAAAGATTGTTAGTGCTTGGAAAAGATGGTTAGCATGCAGCAAATTTCATCACACTGCTGAAGATGTTTAGACAAAATGGAAACTAGCATTTTCCTCAGTCTGTTTTACAGTTTGGTTTGTCTTTTAGGCATTAGTTAACTGCATGTTGTTGTGTCTTCTCTGCTGAAACAAAAAGCTGAAATAACTGTGATATGGGAAGCAGAAGAGATCGATTCTTGTTTTATTTGGAACATTTCTTAGTCAAGTTGTATGTGCTTCTGGTAGAGCTGCTTCTCTGCAGGGTGGCCTCGTGAGACTTTTGAGAGTGCCTCCCCTTTGTTGCAGAACGCACAAATGAAACGTATTTCCCGGATAGTGTCAGTTGCACTTGTGATAATGAAAGAAGAATCAAGCCCAGTATGTATAAGGTAGATACAGGTCCCTTCAGACTGAAAAGAATTAGGTCACTCAAAGAAGACATCTTCAAATTCTTTTCCTGCAACTGAAATATAGTAATTGTAAATTCCAGCTCTTCCTCATGGTAACAAATGCTCCGATTTTCTCAGACATTCATCTGGATTTTAAAAAAGGTCTTGGATGGTTTTATAATAATTGCAGTCTCATACAATATGTGCTCTTTAAGTAACACCACTGCTCATTGAGGAGGACAACAGCAGAGCAAGGCAGTGCTGTGTTCCCTAGGGCTGCTGAATGACAGTTATTTCCAGGCTGTAATAGAAAGATTCACCTCTGCTTTCCAGAAGGAATTATAATGTAGTTTCCAAGCTTCTTTCACCTTGGCAAATAGCTGAACCAGTACAGTTACTCATACACCCATGTAAGCAAGCTTCTTTTTATCTCTTTTCTCCTGCTAGTTTTTTCCTTTAAAACTTTTGAAACAAGCAGTGGATTTTGGAGATTTCCCAAACCAGCTCCAGAAAGAAATGGTCAAAACTATTTTGCCAGAAGCTGAGAAAGGGGTTGCATACATGCAGCTCTGGCACTGGGCGTTGCTGTCTCATTTGAACACAGTAAACCCACGTAGGTTGTTAGCAGCCCATGTCAATATTATAAATGGCCCTATGCCTTCTTAATCGTTTCAGTGTCATTGTAATACCATATCAAATGAATTCCTCTTAAAGAGAAAATTGTAATACTTTTTAAAGGTGTTTTCTTCACTACATAGCCCAAGAGTTGCCTGTCTGAACAGCCATAATTTACTGGAGTTAAAACTTTGTCAATATTTTGCCAGCGTAGATAAAATCTTAGGTTTCCCGTTAAGAGCTAGATTGCAGTAAACTTCACTAATTCAACTGCATCTGCACCTGTATCCAGCACAGCAATTTCGTGGTCGGATGGCAACATTTCTGGGTTTTTTGGTTTGTTTTTGTGTTACAGAAATTCCCATGGTGAAAGACAATATTAAGTGATCGAACACTAAGAATGTTCAGGTTAGATGAAGCTACAGAATTGAAGGGAATAGTTAGCTTTCTGAGTTAGAGGCATTTGGAGTCAAGAGTTTTAACACCCAGTTCTATCAATTACAGGGAAAAAAAGAATAATAGGATATGACCTAACCAAAAGGAAATGAACGTAGCTGGCTACTGCAAATTTTGAGGTTTATAGTAGATAAAATTAAGACCAAGTCTGCAGGTTTTATGTGTTTGAATATACTCCTATTGCTTTTGTTGCTATATTAAGTTCGCTAAGGAAACCATATCCTGCCATGTCAATATAATATTCTGCTCGTAAATTATAGTTGTTCAGCATTTTCACTGGGGTGTTCTTGAAAGAATTCACTCCTCCAGGTACGTGAGAAGAGAAGATGGGGTGGTGTTCATGTTGTTTACAGGCACATTGTCTGCTTTTCTCTTGATGCAGCTGGAGCTTTAAAGAAGTCCAACATTTGGACTTTGCAGGCTTTGTGCATGCTTTTGGTGAGGTTTTTTTGTTTGGTTGATTTTGTTTTAAAAAAATAAAACGTTACATTCACCAGTCTTCTCCCCTTGGTGTTTTCCTAGCAATACTGGAGATAGAAATTCCAGTCAGCCTGCCAGGTGAAGTCTCTTAAATAGCAATGTGGTTTTGGAGGGGAAAGAAACACCAAGAAAACCCACAACATGGCTCTTAAAAATAGGTAGAATGTTTGGCTCCACTCCTAGTTTTGTACAGCTCTTAGGGTACAAAAGGGAGAAGTAATCTTCTAATCCTTTTGCAAAATTTAACATAACTGGAACTCCTTGAAAGAGAGATTAAAAGATTCTGTTCCTTTTGTTATTTTTCTGGTTTATGTATCTGTTAGATTACCCTATCTGGAAATTAAGTATTACATCAGTACCTTGTGCTGCTAATCACAGTACAGCTTTTTAGAAATCTGTATTATAATAAGGGGTAGACATTCAAAAGGCTTCACATTTCTTTGTTTTTTGTCCCTTTTGAAGGCTCTCCTATTGCTTGTTTAAACAAATAGTCCTATTTCACTCATTGTTTGAAAAAAGGGAATGAATTGATCAGCCCTCGGCAGTCTGATGCTGAGTAACATAACAACTGATAACACTTTCTTCTGAATTCTCTCTTCTGAAGAAACTTAGGAATAAAAGTTAAAAACAAGTCTTTAAATGAAGTTACCATTTTTTTCTGAGGAATGCCCAAGATGCCTGACATGAAAATCATATTAGATGCTTTTTGATTATTGACTTGGCCTGTTAAAACATGGCATTATTGTAGAGCTCTGGTTTTGTCCCTGTAGCCTGAGAATGATAGGGAGTTTCCAGAAGAATTCATGAATAGTGATGGAAGATGCAAATATCTGAGAAGTGAAAACCTCACTGTTACACTTTGGCAATATGCATCTGGGCACACTGTGTTGTAAATAAAGGAGAGCAGCTTCTCAGGGACTTTGCACGGCCATGCTACAGCTGTATTTGGAATGAGCCCAATACGCAGTAATTGACTTGCTGGTTATTTGCTTCAGGAAGATTCACAGATGTATCTTTTTGTTGTCTTACTGGACTCTGGAAGGTAGAGCACATCCACAGGCTGTGCTGACTCATCACTTGTACAACTAGTGGATGAAAATTCTTGGTAAAGGATGGGAACTTTCTGAAACAGAGCAGTGGTTGAAAAACTAGGAAGTTTACCTTTAAGCAGCAGATCATATTTTATTAGGAATATCCTTTCTCCAGCTTCTCATTTCTGGCATTTTTGTGTTGATGAATGCTGAGTTACAAAAAAGCTTACAGGTATTGCAGATAAAGCCAAATTTGTATTTCCCATTTCAAGGTGCTACGGAGATCATACAAGGGGGGCTTCAGAACTGTTGGAGGGAAGTGGATGGAGACCTGGGCTATTCTGAGTTTAAAGTGCATTACTGGGAGGGGCCAACTTGAAGGGGAAGGCTTGTCCCTTCTCTGACAGATCAAACTTCTGAGAGGATTGTGCAAGGAGGGACAGGATTGGCCAGGCTCAATCCAAGGGCCAGAAAAGCTGAAAGCATTGAGTGTCTGAGTCTGAGCTGACTTTTCAGAAGAATCTGGATTTGCCTTGCTGTCTTGGAATTGCGGCAGAGTATGATACCAGGTAGCAAAGCTTTCCCTGGAGTACTTTTAAAAGTTAAAAAAAAAAAAAGAAAGAAGATAAAAAGCTGCATGAATGTGAACCTAATTCAGGAATATTTCAACCACTTCTGCAATGGAAGGCACATTTGAAACGTACAGTCAGGGTAGCTCTAATGTACTAACAGGTGATTTTCTGAAAAGATTACTTTATTGATCGTGCACTGTCTAACTTAGAGACAATAGCTGGGGTTTTTTGTCTAGTGCACCACAGATTTAGAACTGATAGCTATCAAGCTATAAGGCTGTCTGTAATTATTTGTGTGGTTTTTATTTGGTTGATATGCGCCACTGAATGATTCACAGCAGTGACTGTGATGCTGACATTCCATATATAAGCCAAGCTACAATCTATGTAAAAAGAAGAAAATTTGCACTTTCTAGAATGAGTGAAGAAGTGATGTTTTGTATGAGGGAGGGAAGATCATAGCAGAGTTGTTTGTCGTTGAAGCAGAATGCATCTCTCTTATCATGCATGGTACTCTTTCGGATGCAGGCCAGTGTACAAAAAGAAATAATTAAAAATAATTCTGGCATACCTTCTAAGGATAAAACGTTGGGCTTTTTGTTGTTGTTACTGCACATAAATTAATACAGAAAATGATAATACGGCTTATTTTGTGAGGGAGAGGGAAGAGACAGACAAAACTACCAAGATATCAATAGTAACTTCATAGAGCTCAGTGGACTGTGACAGCTATTTCAGAAATGATGATTTTCAAGGTTTGTTGTACAGAATTGCAGCCTTATGTATTGTCAGGTATATATGAGATTTTCCTTGTTCTGAGAAGACAATTGTTTTTTAAACAAGGCATATTTTTCTCTTGTCTTATGCCATATTAATAGCATGTTGCAGATAGTTGTTACCACAAAGTCAAAAGTTTGACTCATTGTCCGCTTGATTGTTTTAAAGACAAAAACTCAAACCCTACATTTTAAATACAAAAAAGGTACCAAAATTAGGTGTTTCTTTTTATCTTTTGACTACATATCATTGTCTACTGTGGTGATACTACAGTTATTTTGGGAAGGAGCATTTTATACATTGGCTTGCTGCTTTTCAGTCGTATGTGACCCTGATACATTCAGTCAGTAGTTCCCTGAGCCATCTGTTGGACAAAATATGCAATATGAGTATAGAAAGATTAGGAACATGCATATATTCAGAGACCATGCTCAGCTGGAGATTTTTTTCTGTATTCTTAGTATTCTCTTTTTACAAAGGCTTCTTTTTCCTCCTCTTGTGTTTTAGATATTGATGAGTGTGAAAATGACTTCTACAATGGGGGTTGTGTCCACGAGTGCATCAACATTCCAGGCAACTACAGGTGTACCTGCTATGATGGGTTCATGTTAGCCCACGATGGCCACAACTGTCTTGGTAAGTAGTGAATGCTGGCAAGAAAGTTTCATTTCAGGCTGTGGTAAGGCCTTACCTGCTTAGCTGTGTTTTGTCATCTGGTATGCTTTCAGTAAAAACTTGATCCAGATCACACTGGATAAGTTAAAACCTGTCTGTTAACTCCAGTGTGGCTTAGACCAGACCCTTAAAGTTGGCACTATTAATCCTAACATATTCAAATCAATTTGCCCGTCTTTAACGTTGCTTAAAAGACCCCTGACCTCCAAAGCCTTTGCTGGATATTTGGTCTTCTTTTTTAAGGAAAGTAATCTGTCCCATGCACTTTAATATATTTTGTCTGCTTCTTCCAACTTTTGTAATTCCAGTCATAACTTTAGAGCTCCCCCTCCCCATTTTCACTTTTAGGGTAACATAGTTCTAGGATATGCTGCATGAATATAAATTACAGAACGTTAAGAGTGCATGTGTGATGAAGGAATACTTGGACAATGAAACAGAGTAGAAGAAAAAGTTATCAGTAATAGCTGTTTACATAGGGGAGAGAAACAGTCCACTAGCTGTACAAAGCAATATTCAGAGTAGGATCTTAATTGCTTCAGCAGTCTGAGGATTTTGGGATCTATTTTTTTTATTCATGTCTGTTGCTCTTGTTTAAATAGGTTGCGTTTATCCCATAAGCTAAAACAAGTATATGTTTTGTTTTGAAATTTCTTCACACCAGTTACCTGGAAATGAACTTTAACTGCTGTGTCCAGTTTCCCATACCTGCTTACTTGGTAGTCATTCTAGTTGAATCCTAATACCTAGGGACTATCTTCCTCAATATTCCCAATGTAAATGTAAGGACCAGTGTTTGGTATAGTCTCAAATTCAGTTCAGAGTGATGTTTATAAAACAATTTGGAAAAGGAGTGTATTTTTTTTTGCTATCACGCGGCACCTTTACTTCAGTAAAAAACTGTGATTCTTTGCAATAAAAGCCAAGAAATCAGGTAATGAACCAGAAATAAAGAAGTCTCGTAGCACCAGTTTGCACTCACTGAAGCTATGGAACAGCTAGAATTTCTGAGCAAGAATTTGGTTATTCAGTAGATGCATTTCTTACTGCGTTCATTTTCAAACTGGGTAATATTTGTTCCAATAGATTATATATCCTGACCATGGACAGGCTTTTGACTCAAACTTCTAAATTTCATTTGTGATAGAACAGACTAAATAGATTCATTTGCCTCAACCTGAGTTGGTCAAATAATTAACTAGGCAAGAGGTACTTCTTATACAAAGAGCAGCCAGCCATTCATTTAAAAAAGAAAGAAAAACTCTATTTATAGTAATGTTCATAAATATCTCTTAATAAAACAGGACACAAACATAATCAAATGTTTCAGCTATTTGGAATTCAAATAACTGCACATACATTGTTTCAAACAGCTTGCTATTTTCAACTTTGTTTCCAAATGATTCCCATAGTAGTAGGGAAAAGTAGGTTAACAGGAATGAACAGCAAAAAGATCGACCTGTTAAATGATGAACTGCTCAGGAGATCTATGGGATCTTTTTGGACCCCTGCTGTCTGTGTTGCTGGTCTCTGGTCATGAAACATACAGGCTGGATCTACAGAGATAGCCAGATTTCTAATTTTCTTTTCATTAATTTTGATTTGGCCTCTTTGGGGTTTTTTGGGGGGAGGGAAAGGCCAACAATCATATAAACAGGTGGCTAAGGTTGAAAGTATTGATCCAAAGCTTGCCAAGAGTTCTTTCAGGTATTTTAGAATCAGTGTCTGCCCGTATTCATGGTCTACTCTGAGCTTTTTGTGTTACACCAAAAATGTTATGAACTGTATTGCTTCTAGAAGAAGTTCAACGAACAGATGAGTGGGAATAATAGCAAAGAGTTTCATTTCTCCCAGTGTGCAACTTTAGGACACTAAAAGAGGTCACAATTGCCTTTCTAATTTTGAGACCACAGTCTGGGGAGGTTTCTGTTCCTCAAATGCAGATTGAATATTTGCAACTAATGAATGGTCTTTGATACATCTCAGTAAGATAGCTGCTTTTGCTTAGAGGCACTGAAAAGGGAATCAAAGCACATTCCTCTTTCTCCCTTTAAAATTTGAGTGCGTTTACTGGCAATTAAACTGTCTGTTTGTAAGGTCTCACACTGAAGGTTTTAATCCTGACAGTGGCCATGCAAATCTTGCTATGACTGTCTGCCTTGTGCTAACTCAGATTTGGGACACCATTGCTAGGAAAGAGCATTTTTCTGTCATCATTTGATCCCTAGCTAGCTGCTGGCATTATGTTATGCTGACTGCTGGGATAGCCTGTTTGTGCCCATTAGCACAGTATCAGTTTTGAAAAGGGGGATGTTCTAGCCTTCTCGTCTGAAGAAGTTGTATTTCCCTTCACTTATGCTGCCAGAAATGTGTACATGCAATTGGCTGTTTTTTAAGAAGATGCAGTGAGGTCTCAAATCAAAGACAAACCTTATATTTGCACATGTTTAAATTAGGATTTCTGTAACCTTTCTTTAATATTTTTCCAGCATGTAAAACTTGGTTAATCTATTCCAAAGATGTTTTTTTTTCCCATGAGGAAATTATGCATTGAAGGGAATTAAAGTTTTGATGTGTCCACTGGTTTCCACCTGTTCTTGCTTTTTGAGAAACCACTTATTTTTCATGGATTGTAAGGAGATAAAGATCTCTTCACAAGATTAGTGACAATGTTTTTCAGCTTCTACTGATATTTTTTTTCTCTCCTCACCCCTGCTCCCCAGTTTCTATAGGACTTTGCACAACTGTCAAACCAAAGATTGCTAGTTAGGTTCTGTATCATATGTTCAATGTATGAAGTTTATGTTCCTCTTAGAAAAGACATGTAGTGTTTGATTAGTATGCTGAAATTAAGTCTATGTTCATATAAGTAAGGCTGTAGTGGATCTTGTATAGAGTCATGTCATTTCCATGGAATTTCTAGATGAGCCTATAAAACTCGCTGTAGGTTGATTTTGAAAACCCTGCCCAAACCATCTTCTCATACAGCACCATGGATGTGTGTGTGCTTGGACAGAAGATTTGCTAGGTGTGTCCCAACACTGTGACTACGCTATTCTTACTTCTCCTCCATTCTTTGGCCTTCCAGGCATTACTGTTGGGGTCCATTTTGTCAGCACATAGGAAGGCAGGCAGCAAGAACTCTTGGGGGTCAATTTGACTGCGAAAACATAGGAGTCTCATGACAGTGTGAGAACACCCTGGAGCTGGCAAATGTGACATGAGATCATAGAATATCTCAAGGTGGAAGAGACCCTTACGGATCATTTAGTCCAGAGATCTACAGAGCTAGATCTGGAGTGTGAGATGGAGGCTAAATGGAATAATATTAGGAATCTAAAATGGCATCTGACTCAGATTTTTAGGCATCTGAATTGCTCTCTCAGTGAGTCACGCTGCATTTTAACACGCACATCACCAGAAATCTTTGTCTAGTGATTCTGGATAGAAGGCCTAGGGATGGGACCCCATGATAGTTCACTGGTAGTCCTGTAGGCCATCCAGGAAATAGCTGATAATGGACAAGAACATTGTATCAGGATTTCTGCATCTCTTGCTTGACTGAAGGGTTTGCATTCCTTTTCAAACCTTCAGTGGATGTATTTCTAGTAATGTCAGTATAGCAAGATATACTTCTTTATAAATAGCAAGCTTGCAGTATTCACAACGAATTAGATCAGATGGAGTTGACAGGTTAAGTGTTTTTTCCTATGTTCTTGTTTCAACATTTATTTATTTCTAATCAAGTGAAATTTCTTATTTATTTATTTGTTGGGAGGAGGTGTTTTGTTAAGAATTCATGGTTAAAATTTTTACTGGAAAATGTCCAAAACTGTCCTCAGGGGAACTCAACTCACTCTCTATTTGACATTTTTATTGAGGAATTTCTCAAATATAACATGAAATAACATCACAGGGAATTAAAACCATGATGAGATCCTTGTCTGGCTAAAAGGAATTTACTTTAGCACTGTAATCACTTGAAATAGCAGCACTTCTTTCTCAAAATTACTCTAAATTCTGCTCATTGGATGCAAGACTAATATTTGGTATCATGTAATAGGTTTTATTTATCCTTCATTTGAAACCAGTCCTTAAATATGTTTTCCCCTGTCATATATGAAATGCCAGTCTGGCATTTTTTTATTTTATATTTCCCTTTCTAAGCAATTAGTTCACCGGTCCAGATGTTCCTTCCTGTTTGATCATTTTTTCTCCATGGTTTTACTGGTAAATTGATTTTGCCTTCTTTATGTCTTTCACATGTTGAGGCATGCTATCAATTTTCATTGTCTCCTTCCTTAAGAAGAGATTGTGGTGTAACTGATCATCCTTCCCATTAGTGCCAAACATTTTACCCATCTCATTTGCAGTAAGTCAGAGTCTGCTCTCAGATATCTGGTAAAGTCTGTCAATTTGTACTACAAAATATTGATGGATGAGAGTTATGCCTTTAAAACTGGTTCTTCAAAATATACTCCCTACTCTGATTCAGCATGACACTTAAAGGTGTTTTTAAGTTGCTCAGTTGATTTTTTAAAAAAATTTATTGATCTACTGTTAAGTAAGAAGACTGGACTTCTGAATGTAATGTAAGTGCACTACTGATTTGAGGCCTCTTTGGCAGTTGGGTGTACTTACATGTGCTTTGACATGTCTTCATGTCAAAAAGCAGAGGAGGTAGATTGAGCCTGGTGCTTTAAGCCTGGATGTTGTACGATACGTGATGGATGGGGATGCCATAGAGAAGCCTTAAGAATTTGTCTTACTTTTCCATGGGAATTTCAGGGGTCCTTGGCATAGTTGCCACTATGGCAGTTCCAGAATGAACACAAGAGAATAAGAGAGAATTTCCTGGGGTTTTTTTGGGGGAGTTACTTTCAAGCTATTGGAATAGCAGTTTTGATATGGAAAGAAACCCTCTGCTCATTCAGTAGCGGTAAGGCTTCAACTGATGAAGG